CCCGCAATTACTAATGCTTGATGTAGACGTACATTTATAGCTCTGTTTTTCTTCCAAGGTGGTTGGGGTCAAGAAGCAGCTGATGCAGAGACATGCAACCTCAGAGCAAAGATGTCTATTGCTGACGAGTTTCAGAAAAGAGAGAGAGATCCAACTGTTAGGGATTGGTGTTATTTGCATAGAATCTATTGCGTTTCCAGGCAGAAAAGGTTAAAAAGAGGACTGACAAAGTTTAGGAACTATCGGTAGTTCAGTGAGGTTTTAAATCAAGTTAGCACTCTCACAGCCCTTGGGGGATTTGCGTAATTTCCATAACGTGCAGCATGTTTTTTGCCTCCTGATAGAAGCCATCAGTTATGTAAGCAAATTGATCGCATAATTATGCAGATGGAAAAATAAATTTAATTGATTCAACAGAAAAGCGCTCTGTTCATTTCACCCAGGATTTCTTTTAACTCAGCGAGGAATAAAATATATCGGGAGAGGTAATTGGCAGGTGACGCTGCCAGATACCAGCTCCATTGCGTAGGGTACCCGTTTTCAAACGGAGCCAGAGCGACCCGCCCCCCGAGCGCAGGGATGAATTCCTACTTTTTAGCTTAAGGTCTCAACACTTAACTGCTTATGAATATCACCACAATATTCCACGGCAGTAGTATTGTGGCTTTATCTGGTCTCGTTATTCTCCATCAGTTCCCAGGATACATCCCACTGGCTCAGCAAGAGCGGCACAGACATTTCCCAGCGGAAAGCTTGGGTTATACCAGATAAAATTAACATCTGAAGAAGTTTGTATTTTGACTACCTCTTGTCCCCTAACAGAAGGAGAATTTTAAGCACGGCGATAAAGTTGCTACAAGTGGCAACTGAGCCATTTTCTCCTTGCTCCTTTGTTTCTGTCCTGGTCCTTGGCCTGCAGATGGTCAAAAGGTGGCATCAGTTTCTCCAGTCCCATCACGCGCAATGGCACAGAAGCTCTGAGGCCAATAATGTCAGCATTCATTTTTTTATACCAGTCATCATACTAGTCATTTTAGGAGAGAGTTACGCAGAAGGGGTTAAGACTGAAAAATGTAGACCTGGGATTTGCAAAAAAACCCCAAACCACCCTGCAAAGATGCAAGATGCATCTGGAGAATGTGAAAGGACAAAAATGTGAACTAGTAATTGCTTTTAATGTGGCCATATTTTACTAACCTGAGGAGTATGGCATTAAGACTTTGGTAATTAAAAGTTCGATTGCTACACCTGGGACATTTAATTTTACTATTTCTCCTCATGTGAAACTCTCACTAACATCCACTAGAATTCTTCAGCGAATTGAGCACAGCCCATAGGCCTAGCTGTAGCTAAAAACTGGAAGCTGGCCATGTCCACAGCTGGGAGTTTCAGCCCAATTTATTCATGAGCATTTGCTACATTACGTGCTATGGCGTGGTGAAAAACCGCATAGTCTGGCTGATTTCACACATTCTTAACCTCCTCATGCAGCATATCAGACTCCAGTTTCTTGTGGTAGTTATGAGATACTAAACTCTCCACGTCTACTTTGCCATTTGCCTATCCTCCTGCATACCTAAGAATATTAATTACAGGGATCTGAACAGAATTAAATAATTTAATGACAATACTGACTCACAGATACTTTGGATACTTCATATAAAGAATAAAAAACGTTTATTAACATCTTAACAACTCCTCCAAAATGATCCCCCCAATTGCTTTTTATAAAACATCGTAAAACTATCAAGCTTCTATTTCCAGCTTTTCACCTCCATCCCCGACGTGGGTTAAGAAACTCTCAAAACTATCAATGCTTTGCAATAAAATTGTGGTAAGTCTTCCAAACAACATCATTCTGGTTTAGCTACAAGAAACTGTCCGTACCTAACAAAAGTAATCTCTCCAAAAGCATACCTTGTAATTGGTGAAAATTGAAGAAAGATTTTCACAAAGGGAATTTCTCACGCATCTAACAACATACTGAAGGAGCACAGCATTGTCTAGACCTAGCTACTGAGCGCAGCACAGGAAAGGTTTTTTTGCACATTTTTCTGTCTCTGTCTGCAAACAGGTAAGCAAACATTTTTATTTCCTATATGAAAAATTGAATATATCAAACGAGTTCCTTAATCTCAAACACCGAAGTTCTTTCAGCTACTAAGAAACAGTAACTTACACCTGGGGAAAAGCAAAAATATGGGTATTGTCTACTGAGTGGCTGGCTCCGCAAAACGACATTGCCTCTATTGTACTTAACTTTATTCTTTGGAGTATTTTTTCGTCTTTCCAGGCTCATTTCCATTCCACGTTGAAGTTTTGTCATGTTTAGCACATGGAATTTCTGTCACCAAAATGGTACTGAGAATGTTGCTCAAGAAACCTTTCTGGCGTTTTGATACACATCAAAATGACCAGATTTGTATGGTATTTCAAGACAATTCTACTCAGACAGGACAAAAATGTGAAATACAGGATTTAACAGTAAAGCTGTTTAAATTGCCTTCTGGTTTATCATGGTGATAGGGAGAAAAACTATATTGACAGGAACACCAGATGTACCAGTTGTAACAAAACTTCTGAGCAATAATGTGGGGAGCTTGCTTTGCTTGTTAATATAAAACATGACTGAGATTGCATCCTATCAGCTGAAGATGATACTCAGGAGAGGGAACCAAAACATTGCACAAATTTTATACAGTTCCAAGTTAAGCTAGAAGGTCAATGATTAACCTCTGTCTGAAAAATAAAGCAACATTTGGAATTTTTTTCGGGAGATGACCTAAGTGAAAATTCAAGGTTGCCGATAATGGAAAAAATAATGCTGTCTCTAGAACATCCCAAGCTTTGAAGCCATACAGATTATTAAGAGAATTTTGTCCTTCTGTGTCTCTCAAACACAGTATTAGCCACATCTGGTACCGCTTACAGAAATATGGGATTTAGCTGAGGTTCAGATAGCCTCTGTCTAATTCCAAGGGAGATTAAGCTACAAAGGATCTTACAGAAAGTAATTAGCAAAAACGACTTAGTTTCTCACTGCCAGTTTTAGTTTGTTGAAACCTTCCAAAATGCTCTTGCCACTAATGCTGGAGTGGGTGGAAGAACATCGGTTTATCATCTGAAACCTGATCACTTCTTATCCAGTCTTTCAGCTACTGGGAAACAAAAGCAGCAGAATGCTACTGGATTTGACCAGCTGCCTTACAAATGGCAGAGCCATCTTGGTGAACACCAAGTGGTGGAACCCAAAGTCTGTTCGAACTAGTGCCAACTGTTCTTCAAGAGAAATTTTGAGGTAAGGGGCTTTTAAAGAAATGCCATCTTATTGTTAGTACTGAATCTACCATTTTTTAGAAGGAAAGCAGACGAGATCCCTACAGAAGAATGATACCCTGTGAAAACACAAGAGCCTCTATCCTTGCATTTTTCTGTACAGGTGGCACAGGAGGAAGGCAGTGATCTTGGCAGTCATCAGATTCAATCCTCTCTCTTCCAGTAGCAACTCCCAGACAGACTGGATGAGCAGTAGTATTGAAAAGGGTCAGGACCTGACCCTGAAGAGGGTCAGGAATCTAACAACTGTCGATCAGATTAATGACATCAGATTAATGGCACGAACCTCAAGACTAGGGTGGCAACCCCCCCAAACAAAAAACCACTGACACCCCTCCACCCCCCCACAACCACCCAGCGCTAAGATCATGATGGCTTTCAAAATTCAGAGGCGCAAAGGACACTTGCAATAATGCTGCTGGAATTGGGAAGAGACTCATGCTGCCCCAAAGGAGGGAAAGATTTTTCAAACATTGAGGGGGCTCATGCCACCATCTTGATCTCACTTATGATGGAACACCCTTAAAAACCCCATGAATTTCTATACCCAAGAGACCAGTAATTTTCAGCACAAAAAGCTCTAAAGGGGATGGAGAGCAGGACCAGAAGAGCTATATTATTGGCATGTTTGTGAAGGTTGGTACTGGAGATCTAAACTAACACCACAGAAGCGGGGAGCTCAGGCAAGTATCAACTTTGACAGAGGTCCCGTTGTTTTGCCACAAGAGTTTTCTGATATGAAATGTTTGTTTCTTCTTACTCAGGCTGCAGGTCAGTAGATGAAGCGTGACTTAAGCAATTCATGCTCTGAATCTGATTCAGGATTTGCAGGTGGAAAAAAGAATTCCTGAAGAACCAAGAATGCTAGAACCAGCTTGCTAGAAGCCTCCATCTCATCATGCAGTTGGCAGAAACTAAAAAATGGGCAAACCTACTTCCCTCTAAGAGCACAATCAAGGGAGAAAGCAAGTTTTCCTTTTCAGTGGAAGTATGCATATATACAAATGTGAAGCCATATACAAGTTATTATCAAGACACAACTAAACCTTCAGCTGTGAGCAACTTGTGTAGGCTCTCTCAGTTCTATGAAGGAAGGTATCCCAAGTCAGGTATGCCTCAAATGTTTTTGAAGTTATTTTATCCTCACTGCTTTTTACGGGGTTTTTGGAGTAAGGAAATTAAGATCTAAGGGGCACACAGATAGGACAATGTCCTCACAAGATACTGTGAAGAAGACAAAAGGAAACGTGTATTACTTCTACAGACTGTGAACCAGTGTGGAAAATGTCTCACTTAAGAACAGTATATACACTCAATCAATGCACTTACATACTATCACCTGCTGGGAGAAGAGTAACAGTGCTAGATTCTCCGTAAAAAAGGAGAATGCAGGTTCTGAGGCTGCAGCTTCCTCATTATCTAATGATGCCATTACAAAACATCTATGTAAGTCAGTGTGACAATCTACATAGTTAGGGAGAAAATTACTCTTTCTGTGCTACTATCTGCATTATCATCAATATAAGTATTTAAAAACACAACTTGAGTTTGAAGCCTTGCTGTAAATCAGTAAGGCACAGTCTGAACTGCCTTTATTAATTTGTATTATTTTCAACAATGATTGCTTTAACCATTAAAAACCAAAAGTCTTTACTATTTAATGACTACTGAAACAGCCAGACCTTCCCAGCCCATTTCATATTCTCCTGAAGCCATTTTAGAGCAGATGTAAGCTCCAAGCTGTAAACTTCTTCCATATTAACATTCATTGTCATATGCTTAAGAAAAAGCTTTGGATCAGATACACGAGCAGCCAGGATCAGTCTCTCCACTGCTGCTTGATAGTCCCTGTTATTCTGAACTGTCTGATCTTCACATCTGTAAGTGAATTTTCACAAATACAAAATTAGGTACCATACAGGCCCTGTGTCACTTGCCTGACGCTTTATACTAGCAACAAGATTACAAAAACATTAAAATAGTGCCTTGTGTTCACTTCACTTATAACAGATTATGTTAATTTCTTGACAAATTTTAGCTGATTACTCTGAAGAATTAAAAAGTTAGAAAAAGTATCTTTTTAACATATTTTACAGTACTGAAAAGTAATAGGATTTAATGCCAGTGCAAAGTAGGTCTGCAATATTCACAGCATGTTACATGAAAAAATGTTTGACTCTGGGCTGGAAACTTCAGTAAAGGAATGTAAACCATTTCATGAACTGGATATAGCAAGAATTCATGTACATGCTTGAATCCAAAAGGATTACTCATTTTTGGCATGTAATCACTTTTGGAATAAGGATATGCCTAAGTGACATGCCTATGTTTTTGGAAGAGCAGAACTTACGCTTAACTTAAGCAACTTATGCAGAACTTAAGCAAACAAGCAGAGGTACAATAGCATACACATGAAAACAAGAGATAAAAAACTTCTCATGTATCAAAAGAACAAAATAAGAGATGTATTCCTTGGGAAGGGTAGAGAGGAAGGAAGACAGAGTACTCAAGTTTGAGATGCCCCTGTTCATCCTTCTTAACAAATGTAGCTTTTCTATGCAGTTTCACATCTTGATGCTGAGCCAGTCAATCTCAGAGAAAATAGGGTCTTGAAAAATAAATTATAAGTATATAATCTAGTGACGGTGGTTGGTGGTTTATGGACAAAAGGAAAAAACAACAAACACATTTTTATCTGAAGATATTAAGTCTCACAGAAAGGGGAAAAAAAACCCTAACAGATTTAATACTGAGATATCCCCTATAATCAACTAAAATGGCTTCGTGCACTTTCCAAAAACCAGCCAAGAAATGTTAGAGTTGCTTTTTGATAGGAGTAACGTTTTGGCTGTGTCCTTCTACTCCACTGCTTAACCACAACACAAGAACCTATACACCAAGATATCAAGCTATCCTGTTTTTGAAAACAGAGTACACTCTTAGTGCGGTAGACACCTTCAGTTAGGGAACACAGGCCAGTATCACTCCGGAACAATTACTTTTCTGCTACACACACGTGAAACTAAAAATAATTAAAAAAAACCCCAAACATTTACTGTTCTATAACCAGTTTAGAAACAAGGATTAAACACAAGTTAAAAACCAAGCATTCTCTTTCCCAGCCAACGGAAAAAAGGATCTGTCATTAATTACATGATCACACGGATAAATACAATCAAAATGGTACATATCCGACAGCAAACCTTTTCAGTATTACTTGAAGAGTCTGACTAGTAGTCATTGGGCTTTGAATATCACTGGCATTTGAAACAAGAAATATTTCAATGGCCAACAGCATCTCAACCTCAGACAGGTAAGACGGAATCATCAAAAGCTTGTGATACAAATTTCCCTGCAGTGGTGGGTAGCAACCCAATGATAAAGCACCTGAGAGTAAATGCAGAAACATAAGGAATTAGGATTACCGATATTGAACATAGATCTGTTTTCTTCAGTATGTGGCTAAGAATGTGGAAAAAAACCCCGCAAACTCTTAATGGATTTTACTATTTCACCTGTCAAGTGGCCTGATTTGAGAACACAGCAAATAGTATTCCCTCATAATATTCACTGTTGTAAAATGTTATTTTTATCAATGAATATTATCAGCGATGATTAAAAAGCTCTGTCAGAAATCCAGGGACCCCAAGTGCATAATAATGAAAGTACAATTTAGAACAGGTCAGACAGAAGCTTTATTAACTATGAACACAGTGAGAGGACATTTGAACAGCATCTCCCCCTTTGCTCCCCTGTCCTCTGCCAAGTGATCCCAGAGACCCAACCTACATAGCATTTCAGAAAAAAAAAAAAAAAGAGTTGAGGAAAAACAATCATTTCAATGTTAGCAAAGCCAAGTATCCATCCCGAGAGGGATGGACTGCTTAAGTAGCTTGCTAACCGCCACAATTCTAAGACGGAACCAAACAGTAAATAATGTGCCAATACGGAGAGATGGCTCTTGGTGGACCCTATCAGAATGGCACACCCAGTATTATCCTAGCTCAGAAGTGGGGAGTTGAAAACAGTCACAGACTGTCAGCTTTTAGTTGAAAGGAATTTTCTTTTAGTTAGGATAAACTTCTTAGCCAGACCTCTCAAATTTTAAACATTAATAATTTTACCACCACAGCTCTAAACAGAAGTATAAAGAAATCGAATTTGCCTAGATTAAAAAGTGAAGATGATGCACTTTTTAACCATTTCACGGTTCACATTTTTGCAATTCTGAAATTGAACGTAAAAAATTATCAGAATTACATTTATTTCATGCCAGGTAGTATGCACTGATTCATATTTTCAACTGTCACTGTTTCCCAATAAATATTTTGGTTACAAATAAATTCCTGATAGTGACACAGAAAGTACTGTTTTCTTCTTACAAAGAATACTCTTACCCATTTCTCCCCAACATACTGAGCTGTTATGAGCATATGTTTATCCAAAGAACATAAGGGAAGGATATTATTTAAGAAGCAACTTACTTTTGTAATAGGTCCTAGCTTTAGACCACAAAGAACTTCTTCCCAAAGCTGTGATTAATCCTCTAAGTAAAAAAAAATCAATAGCTATGTTTTTTGAAAGCATGAAGTCTACTGCAGAAGATGAGACCCCAAGGTTCTTGCTCTCAAAACAGGCATTTATCAGCTTGTTAAAAAGGCAGCTGTACTGAGAAACATCTACAGTATCTGAAATGAAACGAAGAATATTAACTACTGAATTAAGTCAAATGCAAATCTAATTGAAGAATCGCTTCTCAATCAGTACCTAAATCAGGACTCTTGCTTCTATCAGCAAAATGGAACAAGGTTGAGATAACTTATGATAATGCTTTATTCATCAAAAGTCTTTTCATATTAGTTCATTCACATTGTGAAAGCGAAGCGTTAAGGTCCAAGTAATAATTTGCTGCCAAAAACAACAGGATCAGATAAAAATATATTCACTTGCCCAAGCCTATAAATACAATCTTCACCTGATCTCTCAGACTTAAAATTTGCACCAATAAAAATCACCTTGGTGCTTCATGTTCTGCTTCTACTCTTACTCTGAACTGTCCGCTTCCTCTCAACTGTCCCCCTGCTCAAGAACTGAGCAGCCTTGTATTCACCTCATGCCTCAAAGGACTAGATCCTTTTAGGATTCTCTAAGTAGATCGTCTTCCAGCTAAGCTCTCCTAACATACCTAAAAGCACATATTGGCAATACTGAGACCTACACATGGGAGTCAGCTCAGGTCTCCTCAGTGGAGCCTAAGTAACTACGCATCTCATCTTGAAGTCCACATCCAAAATTTCTCAGATAAATTGAGCCTAAAAGAGCACCCAGTTCTTAACATGGTATGTAAAAGAAGCCTACGTTAGCTAGCTCAGTTATGGAAAAAAACAATGCATTCATCTGAAGCTAGGATAAAATGAATCACCCCAATGATATCCCTATCTTATCTTATTGTATAGACTGTGTATGATCCTTAAAAATTTAGTGGGTCTTTCCTGTTGCCCTGTAACTGAGTCAATTGGAAAAAGAGGACAGGTGTATGAACTCCGTATGTGTGCAGCAAGAGCTGCAGAGTACAATACATATTTTAACTGACACTACACTCTTTGGGAAAAAAAATGGGCTTATCTAAAACCATCTTACTTCTTCAACAAATTTTAGCCAGAAAACAAACAAAAAGAACAGTACAGAATCATCTGTTAAATTTTTAGCTCTTGACACAGTACGTTTTTCTTTACTTACCAGAATGATTTTGAAAACCTGGTAAGTTCTGCAGAACTTCAAATGCCTGCCTGTATAAACTCTTCCTCAAGTATTTGTGCACTAGTGTACATAACAGATTATGTCGATTGAGGATGTCCATTTTATCACAGGGCCACAATGGTGCATTTGTGGTCCAATCTGACTCTGTGGCAAACAACAGTGCAGTGTTATTTCTATGAATTGAAACTGCTGGACGCTGAGGCTTTTGGCCATTAAGAATATATTGTAAACTGTAGCAGAAAACAAATTTCAGAATTTCACAGAAAATGCAGTTCTAGTTAATAATAATAATTCGTTCCTTACCACCAATACTTCTCAGATGGATTCTCTGAACCTTTCTATTGTAAATAAACCCTTTTATTAAATTATCATGGTAGTAAAATGGACTGTCAGTGGCATATATAAATATATATAAATATGTATATACCTATGTACATATGTAAAACTGAATAGCAAATTTTAGATCCTCAATATTACTTTACAGAACACCTTCTATTTTTGTTTATACTTCTGAGTTTCTTCTCTTTTCAGCAGATCAGAATTCCAAAAAGCCAGTAATTATGCAGTATTTAATTGCAGAAATATGGTACTATTCTAAAGCTATTTTACTAAATGTGGATACTGTGAGGGGTAAAGAAACACTGCATTGACCCAAGCCTGAAAAGTTTTTGACACTGCATGTCAGCTGGCTCAAAGGAAATGTACATGGGGCAGGGTCACTTTCCAAGCTGCACCCCTCCCTTATTATGGTAGGCTTTTGAGTAGAATGGTGTTGATGGCAGACTACTGTGCAAACTCTTCTGAAAAAAATTTGCTATTAGTCATAATATATGTTACACATATCAAGAAGAATACTAACCAGTGAGATGGATTACATTTTATTTTTGTTGCCCCAGTATTATTAACTTTATTTAATAACACAGACCAGCTTGTAACTTTTATCTGGAATCTGTCATGAAGGGGACTGTTCAAATTTAAGTCAAAACTCAGTTTTTTATAAGACAAGCTCACCTCTCAATACCCATGTAGCTCCATCCAAACTTCCAGTTTTAAGAAAAATTTCTGCAGCTTTATTAACAATTTGACATCTTGATGCTAACCTCTCTGCACCTGTAAGTCCTTTCAAGACTGTAAAATGTATCTGTAGCTCATGCAATTTATCCAAAACTTTCCTTCCCTAGTGTAAGAGGGAGAAGGGAAAGGGGGAAGGTCAGAGAAAGCAATGATATCAGTGAACACAGAGTATATTTACACAAAATACAGCAGATTTAATTTGGTGATACAGATTTATAGGCATCAGTTTAGTTATCCAAACTGAGTCGGTGGGAAAAAAATTGTAGTAAAATTTCTAATGAATAGTAAGGGGTTTTTTTGACTGTGTAGGCAAAAATCCCCCACCAACCCATTGTTGAACAGTTCCCAGCACAATATTCCCCCTAACATTATTTCTACTATATAATATTCCTATACAGTATTTTTTATACATTTTGTAATTAATTTGCATTTTCTTACTTTAGTATTAATATTTTAATATTAATAATAATATATTAATATTTTTACTCTCTTGATTCCATTCAGCACTATACAACCTATAAAATTCTAAGAAGATCAAACAGAGAGTTTTCATTTTGCAGCAGAGGCATAATTGTTAAACTGAAATAATTACTCCAGCATAAGCCAAAGAAAACACTGATAGTTGTACCCGGCAGGACAATAAGCTGGAAAAAGTTGGGCCTATCTGGCCAACAATGTAACAACCAACAACTTTATCATCATATTCCAGGTTGATACGTAGACTGGTTTCCTACAGAAGCTCCCTCTTAACAACTTTTTGGTTGGCTTTTTCAGTCAGAGGTGGAAGGAAGGTAGCAGCCTCAAAGATAATTAAGATTGATCAATCCAAAATGATGATGATTGAGTCAAAGTGGGATATCAAATTAATGTCCTCAGTAAGGCAAGGACAGGCAGGATTCAGCACTTGTCCCGTCTGGCTGCACCTTGTTGGTCAAGCAACACGAACGAAACTCCAACCTGGACATATTTGAGCTCTTGCTTAGTGGGTGCATTAGTGAGGAAGGAGGTGGCTTATTACAAATCGTGGTCATGTGTGTGCGTGCATTGTGGTGGCAGAACAAGGGTCATGGAAGTAGAGGGAAAGGGAGGTTTAGGAGAACAGAGAAGTTGACAGAAAATGAAACTTACCTATTAAGAAGCTCATTTTTTGAAAATGCTTTATGCATATGCACATACATACTGTGGACTGGCATATACTCAAAATTGGAGACTTTTGAAGGCCTACAGGTATCTGCAATGGTTTATCTCAGCATAACCCATAAAGGAATGCTAACTACATCACTGCAGTTAACATTTAAAAGAATGCATTCAACTGTAGATGTATATGGTTGAAGGGAAAAAATACATACCAGAAAGACTCAGGTGAAACTTTGACAGCAAAATAGAAACTTGAAATCTAAGTGCAAATCAGAGACAAAATACAAAATTAAGGAGGATCTGCATCTATTCCATCCTTCTAGCAAAAGGGTGGGCCACTAAGAAGTGGGTCTTTTTATAAAGATGGAAAGCATGCAGCTATAAGCACAAATGATCTCTAAAGGAAGGGCACACAATTAAAATGCAGCTGGGGAATGAGATCCTTAATTGCACAAGAAGCTCCGACCAATCCTCTGAAGTAATAAAAAGTTGGGTAAAAATAAACCATAGCAAAGTCCTTCAAGATAGGAAATAGTTGAAATAGGAATTGGATGAAATAGTTGCCAAAGGAGCGTTAATGTTGCAGGATTCTCTGCAAGTAAATATCCAGAAAGTAGTCTAGTGTTGCTTGAAGAGTTGTCTCCATGGAAGACCTATTCACATGTTTCAAATCTGCATGTTTTTTTGAAATACATCTGTTTTATGAACCTTCCTTAGCTCTTAAAAGAATATTCTCTTCAGGACGAAGGAGCATACATGTTTCACCCCTGAGAACCACCAAGCAGCAAAGCTATGTGATAAAGAGGTTGGATGTTCATGAAGGGAAAGTGATCTGAAAAGCACATCTAGAGCTTTAAGCAGTCCAACATATTCATAAAATGACATAGGGCATGTCCTAAAGCCGAAATTACTTTGGGCACAGCAGGAAGAACAAATCCATCACTATCTTACTTTCTGTACCACTTTTTGGAAGAACCAAGACATGGGATCAAGCGGATACCATCCCATAACCACAGGATTAGGGACTTATCCTATACATATAATGGAGTGAAGCTAGTTGGAGAGAGGTAGGAATGGCAGTTCTAGTTCATCCCTGAAGCAAAGATCAATTTGGAATCTGCCAGTTCTGATAAAAATCATTCAGAGCACAGCCTCATTCACATTCCCATATAGTCAACACAGGTTGTCTACAAGGCTATTTGAGGATCTTGGTGAGCAGTCTGTTGAGAGGTGGGTTTGATACCTAACACAACATTGTCAAAGAAGCAATGATGTTTTGCTCTAGACATGAAAAAAATCATAGTATCATAAGAACTGTTATACAAGAGAAACACCACACATGCTTTTGACACCTTGCACCTCTGAAATAAGGACATGAAGATGAACCTCCCTGGAATATCAGAGGTCCTGCAACCCAAATATCAGGATCTT